CTTCTGTTTTTGTTCTAAGCACTGGGATATGAGACACCATGTTATGGTGCTCCCTGTGCTGGAGTTACTCTGCTTTGCCCGAAAACAAAGCCGTTCATTGAGAGGTCAGGGATGGTGGGGAAAGCATGCAAGTATTTAAAAGTATGATCTGCTGGTCCTGCTAGGCAGACAAGGAGAACACTTGCCATAAAACACTTATCCATTGAAAGGTGCAGCAGCTGTATCCCAGCAGTGGGTGCCCTGAGTGCTGGGCTGGAGAGTTGGACACAGCTTTGCTCTCTGGCCCCAGCAGTGCTTAATGCTGCCCTGCAGAGACATGGCCACAGCTGGGGGCTGGAAGAGCCAGGTCTGTGCCCTCAGCCTTCTGCGGGCAAGAGTGGACTGTCACTCCGTTGGCTGCCACAGCCCCTTCCCAAAGCCTTGTAGGTGCCATCACCCTTGCTCAGGCTCAGGGACAGCCCCTGGCATAGCCCCATGAACCATGTGTGTCTGAGCGAGGAGAGCAGAGGAAGACATGGGTCTGAAGTGGGGAGTGCCATCCCAGAGCAGAGTAGCCGTTTTCTCTTTGGGCATTTTGTTTTGACTTTATTTGTGTCCCTGGAACCCAGCTGCTTAGCAACTGGATAAAATAGTCACAAAATGCTGGCATTTCCCTCCTTACCAGGGCAGGGACTGGGCTGTGTCCCTGGGGGACTGTCTGCTAGACGAGGTGGTCACATAGCATTCATGGGGGGACTCCCATCCTTGTCCTGGTCCCCCTCTCCACGGGCTCTCTTAAGGTGCAAGGGAATTTGGCCCATGTGCATGGCAAATGCCATGCAGGCTGCTCCACTTGTCCTGGCTGCTCACACCCCAGGGGCAGATGAAACATGGACACTCCTTGGATCTGAGTGGATAAATGCTTTTTCATCTCTGGAGGACCAGATGGAATAAAAAAGCACACTGGAAGTATTCTTGTGAAATACTTGGAAAGGAAAATATTCACCATTTCTGACTGTATATTTGGGGGTGATGGGAATGAATACACCCTCACACTTTGCTTCAGGGAATTTTAACTGGGGAAAAAAAAAAAGAAGCAAAACTGGCAATGAAGAGTTCTGGCTATATATTCTTTGGGCCAGAAGAAGAATAGGCACATGTCTAATGCCTGCTGCTGTCCTTGCCCTGTTTGACTCCTCTGCTTCTATGCATAGTACTCAAAGATGTATCCAGGCTGCCCAGGAGGCCAAACCCTGCTCAGCCGTGCTCACTTCCCTTGAAGGGTCATGCAAAGGGCAAGGGATGAAAATTAGAGATTTTAGGAGAGCAGTTTATAACACACTTGCTTTTATAAGTGGCTGACGTGCAAAAGACAGTTGTTGGCAATTGCTGACAGCTTATGTATTTACCTCAATCAGCAAGTATTTATAATTCATTTTTAAAACATCGAAGTTCCAGCCTTACTGGGAACATTACAGACTGCCCCCAGCACTCTGATGTGCTTCCAAAGCATACACTGCCACAAGTCAAAAAGCACAAAGACTCAAATATTTCAGGGGAGAGGCAGGGGAGAAGTGCGGAGATGATGCACTTGAAATGAAAATTATTTAGATATCTCGGTATCTATTCACAAATATTTAATTTTCATGACTGGAGGCAACCACAAGTGTTATAAATGGGGTGATTGCCACATCACTTATAGCATCTCTCCTACCTGACACCACAGCAACACAATAAGGAGGATTTGCCAGCAGCAGGATGGACAGATTTCAGTCATTTTCTCTCCCACCCCCTCCAATGCCTCATGGACCCTCTGTGCTGACATGAGTTTGTGGGCCCCCAGAAGACCTAGTGGGGCTTAAAATAGGTCTGTATAAAAATATAATACTGCTTTCTAAGGCAAGCACTGCTGCTGAAGGTGCAGCATTGCTGAGCCACTCCCTGGGATCTTTTTGAAGGAGGATAGAATGCTTCTTCCCACCCTTGTGCCCAAAATGTTTATGGATAGTTTCCATCTCTGTTTGCATGGAGAAATGGCAGAATTTCACTATTTTTCAGTTTCTTTACATTTTTATGGCAGTTCTTCATGGTAGTTTTCACTAACCATATCCCTTCTGTCCTCAGCAACAGGTTGGGAAGAAAATCTGCTTAAAGACAGGAAGATGCCATTGTCAAATCTACCATCAGGATGGTTAGGGTGGCGGAGGTGACTGAGCTTGGGACAAACTCCAGATAAATACCCTCTCCAAAGTCTTACTCCTTGAATTGATATTGTTCCTTTAAACTCAGAAATGTGTCATGTCTCTGTGCACTGCTCAACATTTTGGGGAGCTGAGGTGGCTGAGAGGGAACAGGAGAGCAAAGGAGAGACAACCAACTCCAAGGCAGCAGCCAGTCCCTGCTAACATCTGACCTCAGGCTTTAGCAGCAGATTTAGAGAGAGATTTTTCATTCTGTGATGTAGTGAGAGAGCACGCTCAGATTGCAACCCTGTAGCTAAGTGATTCTTAGTTTTTTCCAGGGGTATAATTATGAAAAATGGCTCTCATGTTCCCCATTAATATGCTATTAGCAGACAGGCAGGGCTTCCCAGCATGAGCCAGTTCTTGCTAACAAGGTCTGTGTGTATCACATTAGGGAATGTATCACTCACACAGCTTTCAGAGCACCATAAGTGATTTGCAATAGTTTCTGTAATGGTACAGAGCCAAATGTATCTACATCTCACAGAGAAGGCAGCAAGGTCTAGCTTTAAATTCAAGGTCCTTGATTAAAAGAAAAGAAAACCAACAAGCTGAAACTCCTGCTTCTGCACACTGAGTTGCCCCCCTGCTCAAACACCAGGCAGGTGCAGTGCTGAGAAGGACCATCATGTTCAGACGGGGCTGTGAAGTCAAATGTCTCACTCGCCCACTCAGTCACTCACATGAACAGTATAATAGCAGACCAAAAACCACCTTGCCAGGAATTATATAATCCTCCGTCTTCACATGCACTTCTGGGTTACTTTTCCCTTTTTAAGGTGGGCCTTACTCCAATGCAGAAAGAAACTGGTCTAGCACATAGGACAAGTCAGAGCAGTTGCTGTTGTTCACCTTGTTAGCAAGGTTTCAGCACAGGCATCCATAATATTCTTATAACCAAAGTGGTGGGATAGGGACTGTGCTCTGAGTGGGCCAGTCTGGTTGCATGCACATGTTTTCTTGTGCTTAACTCCCTTACATGCAGCCTGCTGTGGCTATGGGTGTTGTGTGAGCCCCAAGGCAGGACAGGGACTTGGCTCTCTGCTGTGAGCTGGTTGGCCAGGAAAGAGGCTTGGTATGTAAAGGACTCAGATGTTAGCTCTCAAGTTCCTTGTGATACAGCCAGCAGGCAACTGCTCCAAGTGGGCAGAAAACTCTCCAGGGTGTTTTTTTGCTTAAATGCATGAATTTTCTTTTAAATACAGCAGAGATTTTTGCCTGTGCCTCATTGCTCCCACCTCAATATTTGTCACTTTCCTATAGCAAACCTGGTTCCACAAGAAATCCCAGTCCAATGTAGAGGAACAGAAAGCTACACTGGTGATGCTAGGCACTGAGACATCTCTTTTCTCCTGTATAGCTTGTGAATGACACTATATCGCAACAAATTTGTATCCACATCTAAGCTTGCGCAATGAACCAATTAAGGATCTGTGATTTTTTTTGTTTCAAGTTTATAGCACAGTCCAGGTTTTAATCCAAACTTTTACAAATTGAGACAGCTGTCTCTGATGCTGTCAAAAGTGTACACAGTCAGCACATTTGAGAATCAATACACCTCATGAGGCTGAGTACCTTGGTTAATCAAATACTGCAGCCATCAGCTTTTGGTCAGCTTCCAGTTAGCTCCAGAGAATTTTCTGCATAGTTACAAGATTATAATTGTTAGGGAAAAAAAAAAGAAAGTGGGTATTTTAAACCCCATGATCCCTATGTTTTTTCATTGTTTGAACTTCACCTTTACTGCAGCTTGTGTTCCTTCCAGAATTGCTCATTAGGTCTAAATCTAGAGAAAACAAAACCCTGTCTGTCTCAGAGATCCTGGACAGCAGGGAATGCAAGGCTAGTTTAGGGCCATCTGTTACACTGCAAGAAAGGTTTCAGAAAGCAAATCCAGACAGTTGATTCATTATAAAATAGACATGAGTTATGAAGATAATCATGGAAACTAATCCTATGAAGACCTCTTAAGTCCTTGGCTGCTATTACCATTGTTTTTTAAGTCAGCACTGGGTACCCACATTACATGAATAATACTGTATTAGTCACAGATAAAAAACAGCAATGTCTGCAGAGATCAGGACCTTACCAATGGATAAATTTAATTAATCTAAAACAAATATATTTGGTCTTCTGGAGCATGTTTGGTGTGGGACACAATTTTGGACTCTCTGGAGAAAAATGGCCCCACGCAAGAGCTCGCTGTGTCTGAGGCCATGTGTTTCTCTGAAGAGGAGGACAAGCTGTGTGCAACTCTGCAGAGACTGGCCTATGGGACATGCTCTGGTCACAGAGCATAGTGTGAAGCAGAGGAACTTTGTTGGTAACAGAGGAAGGACTAATTCCCAACTGGACAAAGTTTTATTCAACCTTATTTTTGCAAAAGCACCTTACAGTAATCTATAGCCAAGCAGCAGTAAAGACCTTTAATCACTGTACTCTGTGCTGTGCTGAAATGAAATACAATCCTATTTAATAAAAATCTGTGGTCACTCAGGAACACTGGTTTCAGTCTGCTTGAGAGGCATGTGTGCCCTGTCCAAATGCCTCTCTCAGTGACAAATCCAGTATCAGGCTTTACTGAAAACAAAAAACCCACATGATCTGACTGTTAAACTCATCAACAGGGCTGGAGATCAGAAAGTGGGCAGCATGCATGTTCCTCAGCAGCAAATCTCCTGGTAGGGTTTGCATGTGAAGGGGACCTCAGCTGTTGGGGCAGAAGTCTCAGCAGTAATGTCAGCATTGCTGAACTTCCAGCATCCATGTCAGATTTCTTCAGATGTTCATTGCCAGGCTGATAAACTAATATCAGAAGAAAGATCCACTTTACAATAAATTATTTCAAACCCTTCTCCCTCCCCATCTCTTTCCCCAAAAGAAAGACAGATGTCCAAAAGTGGTGCCTTGCTCTGAATTGATCCCATGCAGAGAAAAGGACCTTGGCTCACTTGGCTTTTATGTCCTGTCATTAAGGAGAGACCTCAGCCAGCATTTTCTTCTATGTTTGGAGGGAAGTAGGCAGAGCTCTCCAAGCACTAAATGCTGATAACAGCAGTGATTTTGTTTGCATGCCAGCAGTCCACATGGGCTCCCACATTTCTTGTGCCTGGGCAATCATTATGCCTCATGCTAGGAAGCTTTGGGTTAGTGTAAAATGAGAGACAGCTCACATATGCAACAGGGAGATGAAGAGAGACAAGAAAATAAGAAGCCTATGCTGAGCGGTGTGAGAAGCAGTTGATGGACATGCAGAGGAGAGGCTGAAGTCCTGGGGGATTCAGAGAGAATTCTCACCTGCTCCTTCCCCTTTTCCCCACTGAAACCTAGCACCTGAGGAAGGACAAAAAAGCAGAGAATCTAGAAAGAGGCATGGGAGACTGTCAATACGCCACAGGGCAAGGACAGAAGGAAGTAGCATAGAATCATAGAATTTCAGAGTTGGAATGGACCTTACAGACCATCTAGTCCCAACCCCTGCATGAAGGAGATGTAATCAGTGCGTGGGCTGTAAAATCCCAGCCCTACTGAAACCTGTGGCAGATACCCTCTGCACTCTCACCGACATAGATGCCACCTGGAAGTGTCATACAGAAGTACTCCAGTTCTTACAAGAGGGAAAAGCCCTAGAGAAGCCCCATCATTTTGCTGGGTTTTGTGAATCTGTGCACATACCTCGCCTATATTCAGGTTAATGAACTCCTTGTTTTTCACAGTCAGTGCTTGGAATACTCCTGAAATGAAAAACAGGACACCAATGCTATAAATACACCTCATTCATATTCATACACGAGCTCTCCATCCCACAATGACAAGTGGCCGTGCCAAGGAGAGGGAAGGCCTGGCACAAAGACGATCGCTTAGGATTGCTTGGTGCTGGTAGCTGCTCAGACAAAGCCAAGTCCTTGCAAAAGGAAATGTCTTGCTGACTTAAGGCCTTTGTGCAAGTCTCACTTCAGGACTTGACTGGAAGAGGTGTCCTGGATGTGCTAAACAGTTGGATTTGGATGATACTCCAGAACAAAGCCAAGCAATTTGCATTTTTTTCATGTATCTTAATTACCTTTACTCTCTCAGTAGTTTAATACTTCTACAGTTACAGATTGAACCAGAAGAACAAAAAAACCAAAAAAATTAGTCAAGAAAGTTGATTTTGCTTGTTATAGAGTAAGTTGTGTTTTATTTGAATTTGGAAGCACACTTCAGCATTTATCCAGCCACGTTACCTATCTCTACTACTGCTCCTCTGGAATGAGAGCCACGCTGTGTGCAAATGAACTGAGACCTAGGGTGCCTCGACCTACAAGGAACTGTATCTATAGCCAAAAGTGGACCTGTTATGTAAAAGGTACAGGAGACACCTGATCAACTGCAGCCAATTGTCTCTTTGCTTGAGGTACAAGTTGTATTTGAACCTCAAACTTCTGTGATCCCAAATTAAGCTCCTGGGTGAGCCACAAGGGCTATAGCATGGACTTTACCAGCATTCTTCATATGCCTTCAATATTGCTGCAGAGTTTATGAAGCAGGTGCTACTCATATAGGGAAATATTCCATTAGCAGCAGAACATTTGCCACTTTGCAGGAGAAAAGCCATCCTAAAAGCAAATGCTTAATACAGCTCCTTTCTGTTAGCCATGTACACACTTGATCTCAGATATTGTGCAACATGCTCAGTGGCAGCCGAAAGTGGAACTCTTGTTTTTTTAAAGGGAAAGAAATTCCAGAGGAAGCAAATACTCACGACTTGCATTCTCTAGGCGAATTAAGCAGTTCAGAAAATCATCAAATTCAATCTGGAGCTGTTCATCAGAGTATCGGAGGACAATCAGCTGCAGCAGGTAGTTGTTGAGTTGGAATCCTTCCCAGAGACACACAGAGAAAAACTGAGCAACCCAGTAGGTCAGGAAGAATCTACAGATCTCTGTTAACTAATCTTGAGAACCAGTTAATAGGAGGATACTCCATGGCACACATCCATCCCAAAAGCAGTCTGACCACAAAGTTCTTTAAGCTTGCAATGAATAACAAACATTGAATAAGAAATTTTGCAGTCACTGCAGTTTCTAGTCCATGCACTTTGTGATGTATGAGAGACCATTCAGTTTTCTTGAAATTTGAGGGGATTTCTGCAAAACTAGTTGCTTTAATAAAAATAGCTTGTGATGAAATACAAGTGCACTGACTTCTCTTCATCACAAATAGCTTACTCACTATTCCTTCAACCCCTGAATGTAAATGGGTTCTGAAGTGATTTATTTCAGGGTTTAATCCTGTGCAACCCTTCTGAGTTTAACAGAGCTTGATAAAATGTAAAGATTGCTCTGATTGACTACCCTGCAGGACTGGGGCAAAATTAGCCCATTCAATGTGCCCAGGTCCTCTCTGGGGTTTAGAATTCACCTCTGTTCAGGAGCACCTGGCCTGTGTAATTGATTGCTGTGCTCTTCACCCACAGCTCATTTGCCCAACAGGTTTACCAGATAAAATGCAGTGCTTGTATTACCTGCAGCTTTAAGAGCACCACGAAGCTCGTAAGAGGACATGGAGCCAGATTTATCATAGTCAAATTGAAGAAAGATACTCTGTTATGAAAGGAGCACAAGGAAACCTCAGTATTTGCGTATGAAAGGGAACATATACATGGCATAGAAAGGCAAGGTGTTTATCTCTAACTGCATAGTATAAACATTTCAGAAAGCTGACAAGACTTTGGTCTTTCCAGTTGGATTTTATAACTGAGGGGCAAATCTGGGTCCCAGGTATCTTTTTCATATGAATAGGTTGTTGTGAAACTGAAACAACTGCCAAATCCAAGCATTAAAAAATAATGAGTTTCTCTTTGTTAAAAATTCCATGATTTTTTAAAATGTGATTTTATCTGAGAAGGATGTATTGTCCTTTGTCTTTTAATTCTTAGCTGGTATTTTCTCTTAATTTCCTTTTATATTTTTCTCCATAATTCTGAACACTGGTGACAAACTGTTTAGCATGAAGTTAAGATTGTCATTTACTCATTTTCTTCTAAGTATAAAAGATCTGAACAGCCACATTCATGGTACAACCAAGAGAACTGGTCAAACAGTTTGAATTTTGACCTAAATATTAATCAATTTTTAAGATGGAGTTAAATTCCATCCTTTTAATGAAATGACAAATACTACTCTCCCTTGGAATATGACTTATTTAGAGCTGTCATCACATTTAGCTAAAACTTTACCAGCAAATATACATGCAAATCTTCCTACAGGATGCAAGCATTTCTCAAGATTCCTTGTTAAAAAACAGTATGTCCTTTGTTAAAACAGATATTGCATTAGTACCCAGAAAAAGTGTCTGTCATTTCTGATGTGCTGGCCAAGAAGCAAAGTACGTTTTGAACGTTTGGATTCGGAAAAACCTGTGAGTGGCCACAAGGAAACAATTATGATTTGAATATTGGGCCTGTGGCCTGATCCTGCAAGCCTGTTTACTCTTACTGTCATATACAGTGGCAGGGAAATGTGTTTAAAATTAGAATCAACACTTTCCCAGACTTCAGCACAGCTGACTCTTGAGAGATCAGTAATGAAAATGCAGTGACTTAGGAAATGATTGTTTCCTACTAGTCATGAATCATCCATTTCTTCTGTACAACAGCAGTAATGGAAGCTCCTTAGGTTTCATTTAGATTGGCTTGCTTATTAGTGTCCATTGCATTCTTTATCCCAAACATAGTTGATTTGCTTACAAGAATCTCTGTTATTTCCAGAAAACCGTTATGGTTTAGCATCACGGAAAGCTAAGAATGTCTGTGACTCTCCAAAACAAGCCCCCATGCTCTTAAAACGTTTGTTTTGTGTTAAAATTCATGGTGTGTAAACACTCCTGTCTCCATTTTTGTCTGCACATACATAATAAACTATGCAGGAAGCAGCTAATGAAATGGAGAAATAAATACAATGAATAATGTCACCTACTATCCATTTCTTCATTTTTTCCCAGAAAACTTTGAACTCATTGAATTCCAGTTTCCCGTTGCCACTGGTCTAGTAATCTGAACTAAGGAAAAGGACTTGTTGTATGAAGGTCCAACTTCTGTCTCAACTTGTTGTCCCTTTGAGCAGAAAATGTTGAATTGCCTGGAAAGCCTATGGTGCTGCTGAAACTGATACTGGGATTTCTTGTGAGGTATAGCTCGAGCAGTTACAGTCATGGCTGTGTCTGTGATACTTGAGGAACATTATGTGATATAAAAACACAGCTGAGCAATTCAGGCTCCACGGCAGAAAGAAAGACAGATTGTTCTAAGGCAGGAACAGCTCTGGATGGAAATGGGATATAAATGGTTCAGAGAATTAAATTATCTGATTAAAACAAATTACTACTGTACTAGAAGGAGTTAGTCAACCAATGTGCTATTCAGTATTTTTATCTAGAGACCACGTTCTGTTGCAATGGCTAAACCAAAAATTAATGGGAGTGGTGGGGTGAAGCTGGCAAAATCTGGACCTTCTAGAATGAAATAAATGTCTGTATAGCAGTTCTGAGAGGCAGTGATTGGATCGGCCTGGCCTTCCCTCTGCCCAAAGTGTCAGGGACTCGATACTTCACTGAGTTACTCATGTCCCCCAAGTAAAGTTCACTTGCAGGATGGGGCACATGCTCTGAAATGCTAAGTAAGGAACATTCCCATTCCCCTTCCCTTTTCCGTCTTGCCAGGACAAAGCCCTTGCTCAGATGGACACAAATTCACAAAGGTCATGAAATTCACAAAGGTGGAGCTGCACAAAACCATACCAAGTGTGGTCTAGTTAATGCCTGCTGTTATTTATGCACCTACACCAGTGATATTATTGAGGGCACTCACAGATCCCAAGGACATTATCACTTCTGCAAAGAGTCTATCTTTTCACCCAGCTAAGTTCTTCTTCCTAGGGTCATGTAGAACTCTGCCCCTGCTCCTTGCCACCATAGTGACTGTTGCCAGGGAATTTGGGAGCATGTGACACAGAGGAGAGACTCTGCCAGCATTGACTTGGGTTTGCATTTGTTTTGCTCCTCCATTGTGCTCCAAATAGCATGCCTAGAGTGGGATGACTGTGTCTGAGTTCCTTGTGCTTCCAAAGCAGAGGAAGACATGTCTCCCCATTTATTCAAAACTATGCAGAGATTTGCTTAGAAGCATTGCAAATCATGGAAACTATTTAGTTATATCCTAAATAGTAAACCTAGGACTGCTGCCATGCTCCTGGGTCAAGAGCAGACCCTGGCTCTGTGCCAATACCATGTAAGGATGAGATGTGAACATGGACCAGCTCCTTACTGAGGACTGGTTTTTAAGGGAGGAAATTTAGGACTGGTCCTCTGTTTCTCTTTGCATGTGCAGAATGACTGGTCTGCACTGAATTTTAAGATTATGGGCATAAATTTAACAGAATAAGGGCTTGACTGTTTTGATTTTCTGTTAGAAGTCATTGAAAGGATGTTACCTCTGTCATGGACTGGAACAACAAAAGCAAAAGATAGGAACTTAGGAAAGTCTCAGCTGAACAAGCAAGGCATAAACTAAGTGTTAGATACTTGCCTTGTTAGGACTGTGTCTGTTTTGCCTCATGTGTAACAAAATAGTTTATTGGAAAAGCATGCTGCAAAAACAGCTCTACCTGAGGAGGAGCCATACTAAGCAAACTCAACAGGCACCAGAACATTGCAAAGGATGAATCTGGTGGGGAAGTACCAGGGCTGTGATTCATCTCATCTAATTTCTGAGCATTTAGCATCCTTCAGATAGGTACATCCAGAACAATTAATTACACAATCTTTTTCGCTGTCTACAAAGGAAGTCTAGAAAGCTAGCTTAGATGTAGACGCCTACACCACAAATGCCTAAATTTGGACAGACAACTCTCACCCACATGTTTCCTGGAGTCCCAGGATCTAGCTGAAAGACCAGATTTTCCAGTTTTCAGACTGGTTGTCAAAAAAACCAACAGCTTTGATATCAGCAATTTTCAACACTCTGCTAATCTTTAATTTCTGACCCATTACTTGCATGCACAACTCTGTCTGGTGAATTTAAGTCTCCAGACAACAGACTTTTCTTGTGTTATGCCTTCTAGGCCTTTTTCAAATAAACCACAGTTTGAAAAATGCACTGATCTATATGGAAGTAACTTGAGATTTACTTTTAAAGGTGCTCAGCAATAAAGCATCTGCCTGTTTTCTACTGTCTGCAATTGAAAACAGTTTGTCTTGAAACTCCTAATCCTACATTTCTAAACAACCCCCCTGGATATAACTTTCACATATTTTTTTTCCCTTTGGGTAGTGTTCTGCCATGACATTATCAAATCCACCTCTGATATCCAGGACAGGTAATGCTATGGACAATAATATTCAGTATTTATTTAGCCTCACAAGCACTTATTTGAAAGGATACATCCATAAGAGAAATGATATTTCGGCATGAAATGAGACTTAAGTTCTTGAATTTGATGTTCCTTGCTGAAAAAGAACAATAATAGGAATGAAGTCATGGGACAAATCTATCTTTAATAAACTGAAAGTTGAAAATAGGATCCATGAGCAGAGACTCTTAGTCCTCATTGTGGGAGGACCTGTGCACTGGAAAATGAAGATAGCTTTCACTACAGAGAAGTTACAGTTCAGACAGAAGATGTATTTACTGAAGACATGAAAGGAAATACTGTCCTTTTTTTTGCAAATCAGGAGATAAGGTTCAGAGAGTGATGGGTTTCCTGTTGTACAAAGGGCCTGTAGCATTGTCATGAACTATGTCCAGGTCTTGAAAGTCCCAGCCCAGTGCCTGTCCCTCTGCAGCAAAGCAGTAGTGCAACAGAGAGCTGGGCTCACTGAGCTCACAATGGATCACGCTGGTGGCAGGGCAAGCTTGTGGTTAGATCATGGACCAGATGTTTTCCTGCCTCTGCCCTGGCTAGCTGGGGGACACTAGGCAGGGGTCTTAACACAGCCCTCATTTTTCTGTCTGTTAATGAATTTAATGGCAGCCCTTAAGTTAAAATTTATCAGGACTTACTTCTTTTTAATACAGCATTCAGAACAAATTCAAGTTCTTCTGCAGATATCTCCCTGTCCTAAAGTGAAAAAGAAAATAATGAAAAGTGCAGCATCTGTTACTTGTATGCTTCTGTAATCAGACGTACCAAAAATCTCAGAAAACATAAACATCAGGGACTTCTTCACCTAGACATAAGGCATGGTGACATCTGGTGCCCAAACAACACACTACAACTAAACATACTCCCCAAAATAGTCGTTTTTGTTTCACCTGGCCCTGGGTGGGAGCAGAAGTAGTTCTCCTCTTTCTACATCTTGCTCTGACTCACAAGGGTTTTGCACTCACCTTTCCTGAAATCTGCTCAAACAGTGCCCGGAACTGCTTTTCTTCTTCAGTTTCTTCTGCCCTTGGTGTTGGGTGCAGAGGCTGTAACACCAACCACACAAATCATTATAAAAATTGCAAAACATGACATTTCTCCTGCACATATCCCCTCTGTGCATCAGGGGACCATAATACATCTTAAAACAAGGGTGCACGTGCTCCTGAACATTGCTAGATCTGAGGCCTCCCAACCATCTAGCTGCCTGAGGGGAGTCTTAACCCCTCATTTCCTTTGCCTGGGCAAGTGTGTAGTGTGACATTGCCTTGGCCATGTCAAAACCAAGAGCACCCATCCTGAAAATACCTCTCCTCTCATCCCACCCCTGCACTATTCTGTTTTCCTGGTCCTCCAACAACCATAGCTCTGCTGAGCTCTCTCCAGCATCATCATCCTGGGAATTCTTGCCCTTCTTGAGATGGCTGCAACTCAGCATATTACCCAGCATCATCCTGAACCTAGAAACATTTTCAACTGGCTGCCAGCTGGGTGTCTCTGTGCGTAGAGTCCAGGCTTCAGTCCACACCAATGAGCACAGAGATGCAGTACTGTACAGCCACTGCTGTATTTGGGGTGACCATGTGGATAGAGAGGAGTTCATGGGGAAAAAACCAAAAAACATGGGGAAAAAGAAGGAAAAAACGCAGCACAGGAGGCAAAGAATCAGGCTTCATTTTCTCTACCCACAGAAGATACAACATGGGTGCTATTTAGTGAGCTCTAGAATGGCCCTGGTGACACTGCTTGGACACTCACACTTTTTTGACTCACTTCTGCTCAAGTTTGGATGCAGTCCCCTAATGACACTGGGACATGTGAACAGATTTATTTTGCTACTGAACATGGCCCTGACATCCCAGAAATGAAGATGCACTTGTTAGCTGGTCCCTGGAGGACAGTTTTACTACAGAGGGACAAATGACATCTTGGCTTAGCTTGTTTCCATGGAAAGGCACACCACAACTAATGGCTTATTTGCAGGGATACACTTAGACAGGAGCTGACTCAGACTCAGCTGCAATTAGTGCTCAGCAGGCAGACCAAGCCATTCAGAAAGAAAAAGAATTTGATCATTTCAGTAGGCATGTGCATGTGTAAGCATTCCCTCTCCAGTCCTGCAGATACTGTGAAGTAAAATAAAGGTATTTGTATAAAAAATGAATATCAGCCTGTGGACATTGTCTTGTTTCTTATTTTTTTTTAATAAATAGAATTTTAAAAGATGTGAACGGCCGTGTGCATCCCTGGTGCTAATTGGTGTGCTTTCACTGCACACGTGGCTGACACTGACTGCCTTGAAGTGTATTTCCAAAGCCTAACAATTATGATTTTGAATGTTGTAGCTCTTTTACCATATTCAGCAGAACTGACTGTTTCAGTGACATACACAAAGCTGGCAATTGTGCAACATTCCTGCAAAATGAACATGTTTTAGCCAAAGACAGCAAAAGCAATGTGTGCTGGATTCTGCTGAGCTATTCACTTGTTATTTTAACTCTGTAGACTTACCTCAGGGAGATCAATGGCAACGTTTTCATCTAGATCCCTGGAGAAAACAAAACCTTGTTCAGTATCTGAAGATCTTCAACATCTGCTTGAGGTGGAAGCCTGCTTATTACATTTTCCAGCAGTGAATGATAAAATGGCTCTTTTACTGAACAGGTTCAGTTTAGACAAAATTCATGAGACAATCATACTTTTGCACTGTTTAAATTTTGGTATAAGCCCTTAAAACAGATTCTAAGCAGGACCCAGGGAAGGCACAACTGTGTGTGTTTACTGCTAAAGAATTCATCTCATTCTTTAGTCATTGCGAACACACTTTTTCCTCAACACCCCTTTTTAAAATAAAATTGTCCTTTGGACAAACTTTTGGAGGAAACAAACACTGCTGTATTCAGAGTCCTGAACAGCATCAGGCAGCTAGCAACTCTTCCCTGTCAAGCTCCCAGCAGATTCACCATGGCATGCCCCATTTTCCCCACCTCCTAAACTCTTCTCAAAAAAAAGGTCAGGATTAGCAAAAATGGGCAAATACAAAAATACCCCAAACCATCAGGAGCTGGCCATGCCAGGTCTCTGCTGTAGGGCTGGGTGCCCAGCAGCCAGACTCTCCCTAGCAGCCGATGACTCCATCCATGCACAGAGGAGCACCAGAGGGCCTGGGGCATACTGCTGACTTACTCCGTGATGGCCTTCTTCTCAGAGAAAATCCTCAGGCAGAAATCTGCTTCCTGGTGCGGCTCAAACGTGGTTGGAATAAGAATGTAATCACCTGGTGGCAGCTTGAATCTATTAGATACTTCCCTTAAGTTAATGTAGGTTTTGCTCCTGGCCTTGGAGGGGTGGTACCTGAAGAAATCTTTGCCCAAATGTCCATCTCTGCCAGGGCTCTAGGAGGGGAAAAAAAGGCAGTGCTGCACAGTCTGGAGTGTGCTGGAGCCCATACCTGACCCTTTCCTAATCACAGAGCCAAACTCTGCCTGGCACAAGCCTCACCCCAGATGTGATTCTGAGTCTCATGCCCTCACCCAGGTGTTCACAGGAACCTAGCTCCCACCTTAAGGCAAGGACTCATTACCAGTGTCCTTTCCCACCCCAAAGACAGTCTCAGAGGACTCTAAGACATTGTTTTCCTACTTAAACATTCCCTGCCATTAATTATCACCGTCCCAGGCACGGTGTCACACAGAAGTGACAACAGATTTACCAATCTCAACCTCAATTGGAGACATGCATCCCCATGTGTGATGTGCCCCAAGATGCTCAGAAGCAGCAACATCCCCTCCCCATGAGCCAGACAGGGAGTGAGAGAATCATGGGGCCGAGGAGTCTATCCTGGGAACCCATGACCCCATAGGGACTCCTAAATCCTCTGAGGATGAGGCCTCCATCTCAACCACATAAAAATTCTCCATGAGGCTTGATGTAACTGAGAAGATAATTTTAAGAGCAAGGGCCCTAAAAATACAGGATGACTGGCATGGGTACAAACCCAGAGAAAGATGCTAATACTGCTAGTGCAGCCACTGCACTGTAAAAGCAATAGAGTACCTCATAAATAGAGTAGCCGATGGTTAGCATTTCAGCACCAAGTTTCTTGAGTTTGCGGCGATCCTTTTGCATCAGAGCAGCTATGAATGTGCAGTCATCTTGTCCATCGTCTTTCTCTGTCAAATGTAGCTTGATTTGTGGATTTGTCCAGAAAGTCTCTGCCAATGTAAAGAACACCAGAGAGTTTCTTGCCTCAGAATACTAAACCACCACAATGACTAAAAATAATAATAAAAAATAAATTAAGCTGAGGTTTTGCTCAAATTTAGTTTTTCCATTAGCTGTCATGCTTCATTCCACTAAGCTCTGCAGAAAATGAGCCAAATCCCAAAGTCCTTCATGGAAGTAGGTGTAGAAAAGGTATTAGGCCTTATACTTTTTAAAGTCTCCATGGTTTAAATAAAGATGTCAGGTGGGATTTTGTTAAAAGTACATAGCTACAATGATCCCATAGTGCTGGTGCCTGTCTGAAGTAAGAGTTCAGATGATACTGCTTCAGAACCACATAAACATGTTGGCTGAGCTGGACTTTTGTCTCATTTTACACTTATTGCTGCAGTTTAACTGACTTACTTGGACCTAGTCCTGCTCATGCAAATGTCAATGAGAGGTAAATCAGACCCAAGGAACATGACAGCAAAGAAAGTAACCCTTCTACTGAAAACTCTCAAGTGGGATCATGTTAATGTTTATCTCTTTGCTCATTGCCTGTTCATTTGAATCAGACAATCACATGAGGTGGAAGAGGTAGTGAGGCATTTTGAGTTTTCTCATTGCTGGTTCGTTCATTCGAATCAGCCAGTCGTAAAGTCCATGGTTTGAGTATCCTCATTACTGGTTTGTTCATTTGAATCAGCTATTCACATGATGCAGAATAGGAGGTTTGAGTTTCCTCATTACTGGTTCTTTCATTCGCATCAGCCAATCACACTAGGCAAATGGTCTTATCTTTAAAATGCAGTTCTTTCAAAGCCTGTGGTTTGAGTTTTCTTTGGCTGGTTCCTGCTAGCTGAGACTCAGTTGACCTGCCCTACACCCACAGTTCTGGCTATGGTGCAACTGGAGAGTTAGCTGACGGTGGGTTAAGACTTCAGTGCCTGCTTCTCATTTTCAAACTATTATCTACTTACCTAGAAAATTTCTACATCCTCCTGCGGTGGATCCCCGGACCCAGCTCCCCTGGTGGATGGTCACTTCCCACTTGTGGCCAGCGTTGTCTTCCAGGGCATCTGGAGTGAGGTTGCAGATCTCAACTTTGTCGAAATGCACTTTGAAGTCTTCAAATTTCATCCTGAGCAAAAGACACGGGAAGGAACAGGCAGTCATACATTTCAGTGAAGGATGCTCAGCAGAAGTACCCAGGATGCCCCAGAGACCCAGGGCCAAATCACCAGCTTGTTTAGAGTAGTTTTGGTGACCATGGGTATACCAATGTACACCGGGAGAGAAACTAGCTTTCACTCCACTGTGGTGTAAAGTACATATATCCCTTCTGTCTGCATCTCAATCTGACATATCTTACACCTTTCTTTTTGCACTTTAAATGTCGATTTTGTTCAGTTACAACTGAGTATAAGGTGAAATGGAAGTGATACTGGCACAAAACCTACAGTGGAGTTATTTCACCAACTTCTTTCTTACTGCTTGTTTTGGCCACTTGCACCCTGGTTTCTGACTAGAGTCACGCACTTGAAAAACTGTGGCTTACCAGAACTCTCCATCATCCTGTGCTGCCTGAGACAGGCGTCTCTGCTCTGATGGGCTGACTGAACGCCACTCTGGAGAGCTGCAAAGAAACAAAACCAAGCTTTACTATAGGTATATGGCAATTGATTTTCCCTGGCTGGACATAGCAGTAAGCTGTTCTTCTTCTGGATGATAGCATTTGTGCAGCTTACCCAAATACAGATGCATTTAAGAGGTTTCCCACTTCTATTCAGAGAGACTCGACTAATGTAGCTAGAAGCAGGGCCAGGTTAAAGATCTCAAAGCTTCTCCAGAATGGTCTTAACATGAGCTATTATTGCCTGCACTCAAATTTGTGACTGCTGTCAGGTGTTTGGGTGGATATAACAGGGCTATTGGTAAAGATCAAGATTTTGGTAAGTCACACCCTTGCTTAAATCTGTTTTCCATTTGTAGCATCATCTTCCCTCTTACACTTGTCACTAATTTAGGGCCAGATGTTTATTCAAAATTAAGTCAATGGGAACTGAATAGGGTCCTTCCTCTGTACAGAGAGATTTGCTGGAGTAACTAGGGTCCTAGGTAATGTCTTTGTTTTCTTTTCATTCTCTCCTACAACTCCAGCTGTGGTAGATCAAAACCAAACAAAAACCTCATCAAGATTTTTGGAAAAAAAACAGAAGTGCCCTACTGTATTTCCATTCTGACATCATAAACAGGCATCTTGTGTTGAGGGTTTTAATTCCAGCAGCCACTGCAAGATGTTAATACAGATTCCTGTATTGACCTGCAAGCCCCTCTGCATCTTGAGTTGCAGAAAACCTTCCAAGCACAGAATAAGAGCTCTACTTTGCAGAGACAGCCTTTTCAATAAACAGCATGATTTGCCAGATGGCTGTCCTGATCAGAACTTCTCCGTCTTTTTCAGATTTAAGTGCTCATTGTATATGCCAATTATCCATATTTGTCTTCAAGATAGTAAAGGATCAGAGCTGATGTGGACGTATTTCATGTGTTTCTGAGTCATACAAAGGACAGGGACATTCAAAGTAGACCTGCAGATGACTACATGACAGCAATATTAAAGGGCCAACAGGTTATGACTCCTCTCCTCCATATATCTGTGAATTTAAAAAAAACTCAGTAGAAGAAAGTGAAACAAAAATGAAGTTACAATATGTGCTATATATTGAAAAGTGTACATTGGGGAGGGATTTAGTGATGTTTTACTATATTTTTTTCCTTTTTATTGCTTGCATTTTGTTCACCTTTGGAAGTAAAACCAGACTGGTTTTCAGACCAATTCTATTGTGGTTTTGAGTCCTTTCACAACTTTGCTGGGTACCACATGGAAAGGGTCTCATTTAATGGTCATATATTATTCCTGATGTGTTTAGAAACCCCGAGACTCACAAGCTATTTACAGGGGGTAATACAATATCAGTTTCAGCTTGTATGCAGTAGTACAAAGTATGGGTGTTGTGTTACAAACTCATTATTCGATTTTCTGTGGAATAGCTGGGGCTGCAGAAAGCTAGCTGTGGAGCAGGAGCAGGGATTTGGCCTTCGTGAGGCCTCTGTGTATGGGACAGCGCACGCACTTGTCACTCCACGGGCCATTCCACTCGACCTGTCCCCAAGGGTTCCTTATCCTTATGAGCTGCACTTGCTGGCCCCGATATCTCACCTGCAAAAGAAGGAAACAGAAAAAATATCATATATTTGTTCTTGTGAGACCCCACCTGGAATACTGCATGCAGTTTTGGTGCTCTCAACATAAGAAGGACATGGAACTGTTGGAGAAAGTCCAGAGGAGGCCACAAAGTTGATAAGAGGATTGGAGCATCTCCCATATGAAGACAGGCTGAGGAAGCTGGGGCTGTTCACCCTGGAAAGAAGGTTGCTTGGAGGCTTCATAGTGAGCTTCCAGGATCTGAAGGGGCTACAGGGGAGACAGAGAGGGACTCTCTGTTATGAACTACAGCGACAGGGTCATAGAATTATAGGATCATAGAATTTTAGGGTTGGAATAGACCGTATAGATCATCTAGTCCCAACCCCCCTGCCATGGGCAGGGACACCTCCTTGCTAGATCAGGTTGCTCAAGGCCTCATCCAGCCTGGCCTTGAATACCGCCAAGGTTGGGGCAGCCAGCACGTCCCTGGGCAACCTGTTACAGTGTCTCACCACCCTTATAGTAAAAAACATTTTTGTCACGTCTAACCTAGACTTTCTCTCCTTCAGTTTGAATCCATTACCCCTTGTCCTATGATTGCAGTTCCTGACAAAGAGTCCCTCTCTGGCTCCCTTGTAGGCCCCTTCAGATGCTGAAAACTTGCTATGAGGTCTTCACACAATCTTCTCTTCTCCAGGCTGAACAGCTCCAACTCCCTCAGCCTGTCCTCATAGAGGAGATGCTCCAGTCCTCTTACCAACTTCGTGGCCTCCTCTGGACTTGTTTCAA